CTCATGACCCAAGATAGTTCACTGAGAAAAGTTTGAGGGAAAACTTTTTTCCGACCAGAAATGCAGTGGACCGCTTTTAGAGAGACTGCCACTTAACTTAGGTTCCAGGGTCTTAGACCAAGACATGAAGACTCCGTAAAAATGTAAAATTCAAGAATTGAATATTTTCATTTTTACTGAGTATACATGACATGGCAGAGAACTTGAGTTTAGTGGGCACTTATCATGTAAATAATGGGGATATTCTACACACTACAGCTTGGTTGAATGAATACATAGCAAACAGTAAAATAAAGCTAAAATTCCCATTTGACTTAGGTTCCGGTGTCTTAGACCAAGACATGAAGACTCTGTAAAAATGCAAAATTCAAGAATTGAAGATTTCCATTTTTACTGAGTACACATGACATGGTAGTGACTTTGAGTTTAGTGGGCACTTATCAAGTAAATAATGGGGATATTCTACACACTACAGCTTGGTTGAACGAATAAATAGCAAACAGTAAGATAAAGCCCAAATTCCCATTTAACTTAGGTTCCAGTGTCTTAGACCAAGACATGAAGACTCTGTAAAAATGCAAAATTCAAGAATTGAAGATTTCCATTTTTACTGAGCACACATGACATAGTAGAGACCTTGAGTTTAGTGGGCACTTATCATGTAAATAATGGGGATATTCCACACACTACGGCTCAGTTGAATGAATACATAGCAAACAGTAAAATAAAGCTAAAATTCCCATTTGACTTAGGTTCCAGTGTCTTAGACCAAGACATGAAGACTCTGTAAAAATGCAAAATTCAAGAATTGAATATTTTCATTTTTACTGAGTACACATGACATGGTAGTGACTTTGCGTTTAGTGGGCACTCATCATGCACATGTAAACAATGGGGATGTGCTACACGCTGAAGCTCAGTCTTCTGTATACGAGCAAAGGGACCAGTCAGGCCGGAGCTTATCCCAGTTTCTGTAGCATGAAGTGTCTAGGAGTATTTGTACTCTCCCCTGAATGGGATGCTAGTCCATTGCAGGGTTACCCTAGCATTAAGTTCGCCATTTATACACCTGGGTGGAGAGAGGCACTATGAGAGTAAGTGTCTTGCCCAAGTCCTTGCAAGGGCTCAAACCCAGACCACTTGATCTGGAGACGAGTGCACTAACCATGAAGCCACTGTGTCTCCCACACAAACAATAAATTAAACCAAAATAGCTTTGCAACAGTCTCTAATATGGAGACACAAGCACCCATAAAAGATAAGATTTTAGTTTTTACTGAGTTTGTGTGATGTGAAGACTGAAAGGAAACATATTACGCTCATGAACAGAGTGGAATTATGTTCAGCTTACATTATTTTACCTTGCAATGCAATATATTAGATCAAATCTCTTACTTCCATTACATTACTAACTAACTTACAATAGTATAGAATGCATAGTTCACTTACAATGACTAGGTAAACCATAATAATCAATAATGCTTACATTATATTAATAAATCATTACTTACAACAAATGAATGATTTTTTTTAATGTTTGCTACAAAACAGCATAAGTTTAAAGACAAGCTTTGGCTTATCTGCAAAGTAGAAGTGCAACTGAGCAGCAGAGGTGGGAGGGGGTAGAGAGAACAGGTCAAAGACTAAACAGAGAAGAAAAGGGTTTAACACTTTTTGGTTATGGGATATTGTTTTTATTCCTCTTTGAGAACTAGCTTACAGTTTAGGGGGAAAAAAAAAGGCAAAAACTCCTTCACTCTTACCTCGGAAAGTTTTGAGGCGAGATACAATGCTATACTTGAGCTCCTATACCACATCATGGACAGACCAGCTAAACCACCTGAAAAACAATTGCAGATGCTTAACATGCAGTTTTGCAATGACTATGACCAAGGGGAACTGCTTTCACAAGTTTAACAGCAAGAAGAAAAAATGCATTCCTTCTAAACTCCCAAAAGATAACTTTTCATCAATCTTGGACATTGAAGCAAAAGAATTAAGAGTCATTGTCATGTAACTTTCTATAACACAGGAGTGGAGAGAGGATCCAAAGCCCCGAAAGGAGGTAGGAGGGGCCTGGGAGGGATAAGGATTGGTTTTTCCTTGCCTTAAAAGTTGGGGGGTTGGGATGAGCAAAGGCCTTTTCCTGCTCCAATAAGTGGAAGGGCAGATGGCCCCCTCCCTAAATCTACCGCTACCAAGGTTATCATAAAGTTTTTAAGTTGGCAGCTATATTTGTTGTAGTGAGTGGCTGATTGTCCAATCTTTTCTTAAGAATTGGAAGACTAACCCAACAGAAAAACCTGAGATCGTAAACAAGATCTATGGTGATTCTACAACCCTGACTACCTTAACATTTGTTTAAAAATGTATACCAGGTGAAAATAACATTACACAATGCTAATGGTGCTATATCCCTGTCTTAATTAAATATTTTTTGCCTTACCTGCAACAAGGGCATTAAATTCATCTCTCTTCTTTCTTAGTAGTTCCAACTCCCACTCAACAATCTGAAAAAAAAAAACATTGCTATAATATTTGTAACTTGCGTCCGGACTCCACGAGATCTCGTCATTCCTGATTCTCTCCGCATTTCCTTTCACAAAAAAGAATGGCTGGATGAGCCAGGTGTTCAGCGGTGGATTCGCCAGTGTTTGCCAAGGAACCCTCGCAACAAACCGTCACTGCTAGTCTGGGATTCATTCAGAGCTCACCTAACCGATGCCAACAAAAGCGATCCCCAACGGCGCAACATCAACGTAGTAGTCATCCCTGGAGGTCTAACCCCCGTTTTGCAGCCCTTGGATAAATGCCTGAATAAGCCATTTAAAGATCACCTCCAGAAAAAGTACTTGGTGTGGATGATCACTGGGCCATTTGAGTTCACCCCGGCAGGAAAGAAGAAGGCGCCAACTAGAAACCTTGTCCTTCGATGGATTAAAGAAGCATGGCAAAAGATTCCAGAGGAGATGGTAAAGAAGTCTTTTAAGAGCTGTGGAATTTCCAATGCCATGGACGGAACGGAAGACATCGCAACCTACACCGAGGACTCACAGGAACTCAATGATGATGAAGAAATGGAGGATGAGTTCGAGACAGACAGCGAAGACGAGACTGATGGCGAGTAAACTCTTAGTTGAAAGCTAATAACTAACACACAAACGGTTCCTTTAGGAGCCACCTATTATATAAAAGTTCAATGTCCAACATTTTACGACTTGTTTTTGTTGAGTTTTTCTATAATTTCATGAACCTGACTTGGCTATAAGCCGAATCAGAAATGTCTATGATGATTTTCACTTTGTTGATGACGCCTCGAAGAAAAAAATTATTCAAAACTCTCGGCTATAAGCCGAACCCCCCTTTTCGGAAAAAAATTCCCAAAACTGAGTAAAACTTTTTGCAAAAATCGCTCAGCTTATAGGCGAATAAATACAGTAGGTAGCAACAACAGGTGAACCCAGCATTAATTTAATTGTGCTTTGAAAACCTGGCCCACTCCCTTACAATAATAAACTATTTAGTACTATTAAAACAATAATTATATGATTATGATTATACTATTACAGTTTAAAAAGAAATTTCCTCAAAAATTTACATTTTGGGTTGTTCATAATATTTAATGGTGGTTGAAATAATTTGGTTTTGCTGCAGTACCTTAAAAATTAATCTCAAAAAATGCACACCTTAAAAGTTGCCACTAAACTTCCAAGGAATAACCCACATCTGATGCAATCCTTGTTGTAAAAAGTTCTTAAAAGTCTTCCTGAAAGGAAAACAAGATCAATGTAAATGTACATAAAACAGTATTCCAAATATTCCATGATACTTATTCACTTGAACTGCTCTGTTACATATGATCCAGTGAAAACTAGATTGTGGGAGTCAGAAGCATAGTGCAAGAAGTAAAGAATGTCCATGCTAGAAATTTCTGCTTGTGATTGTGAAAATTTAGTTTTCACTAGATCATAAATGACAGAGTCAGAAGTGGAATCTGTACTCTGCATCTGACTCTGTTGGTTTGGTTTTCACTACATGGCATAGCTCTGTTACTAGTGAAAACCAGACTTAGACTTTTGTTCTTTACAAACAGCCTAACTACTAGGTGCCAACTAAATGCATTTTCTCTTTAGTTTTGATTGGTTCATTGGATTGTCTCTGTCCTTGGTGATTGACTAGAGTGATTACTTTGCTTTTGGTTCTATGACACTCAATTGAAAACTGCTCTAAGATCAGTATTTCATTTCAAGTTTGGAACAACTAATCTACACAGTAGGAAATTCCTTTATCAGTTGCATAGATAGCTACATGTACCTACTTGAAACTAATGTCACACAAACCTGGTCTTTTAAATATTGACTTGATTTGTCCTAAAAGGAGAGGTGCTAGCTGTGTAAGATATCCAATACCAAATGCCTTTAGTGTTGGCCGTAACCTGTAACAAAAAAAAAATTACACAAACATCACATGACTAAGACCAAAAAATGTTTCTACATTGTCACGTGTGATGTGTTTGCATTATCAAGTAGAAAGTTCTGTATGATTCAGTTGCGCTTTTTCAAGCCCACAGACGTTTACAAAATAGTCAACCAATAACCCTTGAGAGTTGCCTCGACGGATGAACCTCCTTTCAATTCTTGGTTACATCTGTATTCAATTAGAAAGGCTTATTAGAGTTATCTTCAGGCCAACATGTGTCAGTGTACAACTCAGTTGTACACTGACTGAGAAAGAAATTTTTATAAACTATCAAATGCTAACCATTTAATTTGCATCCGGCTTTCTCTTCTATCAATTGCAACACTTGTTTGAGAAGAGCTAATTTCTTGACGATGCCCTGAACCATCTGGGCCCATGAAAAACCTGAAAAGAATAAGATAGAACAATTTACAATCACTAAGGTGCATTAATTTTTAAACAAGACGCATGGCTGCGTGAACTCACGCTTTCAATATCGCACATCTGGAGTTATCTTTAGGGGACTGCCATATTGCGATTGTCACTGTTGTCACGCAATTTCGTTATTGCTGGTCATGAAAAATTCTACTTGTGTTTATTTTTGTCTGCTGAGTGTAATGAATGTTGTTATGGTACTAGAAAACAATCAAAATAATATATTACCATATAGAAGTAGGTTCCTACAAATGCCAAAGGTTGAAATTCAAGGACTTTTCAATAACTTTGAAGGCCAAGTTTTAGAGAATTGAAGGACCGCTTTTGGAATGGTTTGCATAAGCAATTTTATAATTATTTAATATTATTTCTCAGCTTTTCCATGAAAGT